AGTTGACAAGGATTAGATCATAGAATCGAGGCATAATAGAATAAATTAGTGATACATAAATTAGTAGACTTGGTGTGTATAAAATTAGTAAATCAGTAATATATATATTAGTAAGCGATATATATATAATATCGTAATGGAGTTCGATATATGAACAATATTATAATAAAATTTATAGAAAATGGCGTGATTAGTAGTAAATTAATTAAAAGTCAAAATGGCATACTTAGTAATTAGTTAATTAAAAGTTAAATGTGTCTGATCAAAAAATGATATAATAATAAATAGTCAAAGCAAGTATAAATAAAGAAAAACAAAAATAATAAATTAACAAGTGCTTTTATTTACAATAACATAATGTTTGATTTGAAGACTTACTCGTGTTGCTTGCATAAGGTGTTGAGATATTCGTTGATAGTAAAATGCTGAGTGCTTACCATTGAAATTAGGTTGTTTAGTGGTGCAAGTTATAAATTAACCTGCAACAATGATATGAGGTGTATGCCTCAGACCAAAGTATGCTCTTTTGGGTATACACAAAAATTTTCCTATGTTCCCAACTCTAGCTAAGACAGAGGATCAATTTTCTGTTTATATAATTTTCTAAGATCAATTAGCCAATCAAAAATCAGAATTATATATAATATAAAAATTTTAAAACAAATATTTGTTTTGCAAAAATAACATTTATCTTAAAAATTAGACTAGTAAATCACTTTTTAGGTTTTAACAAAAAAATTTCTCATGGAATTTTACTATAAAAATACTTTTTTTAATTTTAACATATGACTGAATTTTAATATACAGTAAGTAAATTTTTTGTTTAAAGATAATTGACTTTAAATGATTATATGAATAAAAAATTAATTTTTTGTTTTGTCAATTTTATTATAAGATTATTGTTTGAATTTAAATTAGAAAAAAAATTTAAAAATAATACTTTGTACTTTTTACTCATTATACATTATAGATAGGACCTCAAAATACATACTAAAGAGTAAGATTAGAGATCTGATCTAGTCAAAAAATTTGTATTTAAATATTTATTTGTTTAATCTTTTTAATATTTGAATATTCATTAAAAATTTTAAATAAATATTTGAATATTATAAAATTATATTTTATTAATATTATAATTAAATATCTAACTAATATATAAAAATTAAAAGTCTAAAGCAATTTTATATATATAAAAATGTAATTTATTAGTATTTTTTAAAGAGAATTTCTATTTGTATACAGGGTGTATATATACAGGCAATATAGATAACTCAAAATTTTTGATTATAAAACTATCTTTTGGTTTCTAACAAAAAAAATTCTTTGTGAAATTTTAGTATAGGCTATACCTCACCAATTCCAAGCCAACCCTTACCCTAACCATAAACGAGGGTTTAATTTTTCGATTGTAAAAATTGTTTTGATAGCAAATTTGTAATTCAATAAATTATACTTGTGTACAAACACTATGTGTAAACTAATAAATTTTTTTTTTTAAATATCAATTATTGATATTCCATTTTTACAAAAAAACTCTTTTCACTAATCATCAAAATACAAATTTCTAAAAACAAAATTAATAAAAAACTACAAGAAATATACTAAAGTTACTAGAAAACTAGTCTCAGAGCTCTAAGTAAAGAGAATGAAGACTACAAGAAACACTCAGTCTTTTAAGAGACTTGAGTAATTAGAGCAGAAGTGGCAAAAAAATAGAAAAAGTTGTGAAAAATTATTGATATTTTTTGTACTTTGTAAATTTTTGGAGAATCAGCCTTGATTCTGAATTGTAGATCTGTTTTAGTAATACAAAAATCATAAACATAATAAAAAATAAACAAAGAAAATATATCAAAAACTACATTACAAAGATAAATAAAAGTAGTAAACAATCACAACAATTAACAACAATGAACAATAATAACAAAAAAACAACAAGTTATATGAAACAAAATTTAGCAAAATGTTTTGAAAAAAGATCTACTACAAAAGAAGAAGCAGAGAAAAGAGTAGAAGCTCTCTTAAAAAAACTAGAACAATGCAGACAAAGTGAAATCTTTAGTACAAAATATGAATTTAAAAAAAAAAACAATCATAAATATGAGATAGTACTAAAGAAAAGAATATGTCTATATGATTTTATTGTAAAAAAAGAGATACTTAGTATTATAGATGAGTTTGATTTAGTAATCAAAATAGACTTAAAAGATGGACCAAAATATAAAACAATTACAAAAATTTATAGTAAAAGAAAAACTGCTAATATATTAAAAAAAATATATATATATTGATGATGATTTGAAGGTTGTATTTCTTCTATAAGGTTGCTTGTCATTTTAAGCTTGGTTTTTATAGCTACACAAGTTTTCAAAATCTGCTCTGTATATTAAATCTGATTATTAACTTGGTTTTTCACATAAATAGACTTAACCACTAGTTCACTTAAATCATTCTTTTCTAAGAAAGACCTACTAAAAGTAGAGAATATCATTGCTTGTCTTTTCTTATAATTTTTTGATCAAATTTTAGCTTTTTCTTGCTTTTTGGATTTTTTTTTATCGACTTTATTTGAATTTTGCATATAACTATCAGTTTTTCTTTTACTATAAATTTTTGTAATTGTTTTATATTTTGGTCCATCTTTTAAGTCTATTTTGATTACTAAATCAAACTCATCTATAATACTAAGTATCTCTTTTTTTACAATAAAATCATATAGACATATTCTTTTCTTTAGTACTATCTCATATTTATGATTGTTTTTTTTTTTAAATTCATATTTTGTACTAAAGATTTCACTTTGTCTGCATTGTTCTAGTTTTTTTAAGAGAGCTTCTACTCTTTTCTCTGCTTCTTCTTTTGTAGTAGATCTTTTTTCAAAACATTTTGCTAAATTTTGTTTCATATAACTTGTTGTTTTTTTGTTATTATTGTTCATTGTTGTTAATTGTTGTGATTGTTTACTACTTTTATTTATCTTTGTAATGTAGTTTTTGATATATTTTCTTTGTTTATTTTTTATTATGTTTATGATTTTTGTATTACTAAAACAGATCTACAATTCAGAATCAAGGCTGATTCTCCAAAAATTTACAAAGTACAAAAAATATCAATAATTTTTCACAACTTTTTCTATTTTTTTGCCACTTCTGCTCTAATTACTCAAGTCTCTTAAAAGACTGAGTGTTTCTTGTAGTCTTCATTCTCTTTACTTAGAGCTCTGAGACTAGTTTTCTAGTAACTTTAGTATATTTCTTGTAGTTTTTTATTAATTTTGTTTTTAGAAATTTGTATTTTGATGATTAGTGAAAAGAGTTTTTTTGTAAAAATGGAATATCAATAATTGATATTTAAAAAAAAAAATTTATTAGTTTACACATAGTGTTTGTACACAAGTATAATTTATTGAATTACAAATTTGCTATCAAAACAATTTTTACAATCGAAAAATTAAACCCTCGTTTATGGTTAGGGTAAGGGTTGGCTTGGAATTGGTGAGGTATAGCCTATACTAAAATTTCACAAAGAATTTTTTTTGTTAGAAACCAAAAGATAGTTTTATAATCAAAAATTTTGAGTTATCTATATTGCCTGTATATATACACCCTGTATACAAATAGAAATTCTCTTTAAAAAATACTAATAAATTACATTTTTATATATATAAAATTGCTTTAGACTTTTAATTTTTATATATTAGTTAGATATTTAATTATAATATTAATAAAATATAATTTTATAATATTCAAATATTTATTTAAAATTTTTAATGAATATTCAAATATTAAAAAGATTAAACAAATAAATATTTAAATACAAATTTTTTGACTAGATCAGATCTCTAATCTTACTCTTTAGTATGTATTTTGAGGTCCTATCTATAATGTATAATGAGTAAAAAGTACAAAGTATTATTTTTAAATTTTTTTTCTAATTTAAATTCAAACAATAATCTTATAATAAAATTGACAAAACAAAAAATTAATTTTTTATTCATATAATCATTTAAAGTCAATTATCTTTAAACAAAAAATTTACTTACTGTATATTAAAATTCAGTCATATGTTAAAATTAAAAAAAGTATTTTTATAGTAAAATTCCATGAGAAATTTTTTTGTTAAAACCTAAAAAGTGATTTACTAGTCTAATTTTTAAGATAAATGTTATTTTTGCAAAACAAATATTTGTTTTAAAATTTTTATATTATATATAATTCTGATTTTTGATTGGCTAATTGATCTTAGAAAATTATATAAACAGAAAATTGATCCTCTGTCTTAGCTAGAGTTGGGAACATAGGAAAATTTTTGTGTATACCCAAAAGAGCATACTTTGGTCTGAGGCATACACCTCATATCATTGTTGCAGGTTAATTTATAACTTGCACCACTAAACAACCTAATTTCAATGGTAAGCACTCAGCATTTTACTATCAACGAATATCTCAACACCTTATGCAAGCAACACGAGTAAGTCTTCAAATCAAACATTATGTTATTGTAAATAAAAGCACTTGTTAATTTATTATTTTTGTTTTTCTTTATTTATACTTGCTTTGACTATTTATTATTATATCATTTTTTGATCAGACACATTTAACTTTTAATTAACTAATTACTAAGTATGCCATTTTGACTTTTAATTAATTTACTACTAATCACGCCATTTTCTATAAATTTTATTATAATATTGTTCATATATCGAACTCCATTACGATATTATATATATATCGCTTACTAATATATATATTACTGATTTACTAATTTTATACACACCAAGTCTACTAATTTATGTATCACTAATTTATTCTATTATGCCTCGATTCTATGATCTAATCCTTGTCAACTATCATGTATATATATGATATCCCCTTCGATTCGAAGTTATTCTTACTATGCACTATGTACATATTATTTATTTTTATTTATTTTTTTTTTATATTTATTTATTTATTTGTTATACTCTGTTTATATTTCGGGTGAGTATATTGTGTATTGTGTTATTCCATCACAGGAGCTAGATCTCCACAATCGTCATCTTCGAGATCGTAGTCCTTATTTTTAGTTCTTTTGTGCAGCCGTTTAACTCTATTTTAGGTAAGTAGGTCTCTTAGTTCTGCACTATCCACTTCATTCAAATAATATTGACCATGATTTCTGATAGCCCTAATCACATAAGGCCCTATCCAACGATAATCTAACTTTCTTGAGTAGATCATCTCTAAAGTGAAATCATATACTTATACTAGCATCATGTCACCTATATTTATTTTTTTCCTTGTATCGATTAGTATATCGATCGTGAAATTCTTTTTATTTTTCATAAATTTCTTTCTGGCTTTGTTATTCTTGCTTTAAATCCTCAACTAACCCTTTCATTTGAAGTATTCTAAATTCAAGCAACTCATCTGTAGTTTATTTGTCCTTACTTATGATCACTTGATAATAGTCAAGGATCAATTCAATTAGAGCGATAGCATCTCTTCCATATACCAAATAAAAAAAAGAATACCCAAAGTCATTCACTGTTATATTTAATGCCTAAACGGCTTCACATATATACTTATTTTAGTAGTTCTGCTTTTTAGCACAAACCTTTTTCAAAATTTAGATAAGCTTCTGCACGGCTCTTTTGGCCCTCCTATTCGCTTCAGAATGATAACTTATACTAAAGTACTGTTCAACTCCTAGGTGACTGGTAAGTTCATCTACTAATATTTTTGAATTCAGTTTCATGATCAGACATCAACTCTGCAAAGCATCCATGTTGGGTTATTATATCCTCCTATATAAATATAGCTATAGACTTCATATTTTTCTTTCTCAATAGTCAGGCCTCAATAAATACTGTAAGATCCTTAACTCTAATGCTATATACTCGTGGCCTCCACTCGTTCTGAACAAAGGCCCTATACAGTCCATAAACAGTTTGTGAAATATCCAACTAGTAGCCGGTACATAAATGAGCTCTTTAGCTATTTTTTCTTCACATTTTTAACATATTTCACATATTATTACATGATTCTTGATATTATTGTATATATTACTAATACCTACTTATAGTTTGCTAATACCTTTCACATAGTAGCATTAATTCCTCTATATTCTTCTTCATCTGCGAGATCTTTATAGCTTGCCTTCAAGATTTGGTTCTTCTCTGTCTCATCACATATAATCCTTTTGAGCAGTTTGTCTTTAGCAGCCCTTTGAAATAGCTGACCACCAATCAAGCAATAAACCTTCAATTTCTGTTTAAGCTGAGAAAGACTTTTATTTGTCATGTAAGGTGGCCATACAAAATAGGTCAAGTAGTATTTGATGGCCTTTAGGTTCTGCACTTTTATATCTTCTATTTCCACATTCATCAACATATATTCAATATACTATTCGTCAGTTCGGCTCTTTTGCAGAGAAGGGTTTGAGTATCTTAATATGCTATCAGCATTCATATGCTTCTTTCTGGGCTTGTATTTTATTTGAAAGTTGAAACTTTGCAATGAAACAATCCAACACTTCAAGCAACCTTTCAACTGTACTTTATGAAAAAGCCACTTAAGCACCTGATGATCAATCCAAATATCGAAAGTTGTTCTTCTAATATATTGTTTATATACATTATATCTATAGACTATACTGAGATACTTCTTTTGATAACCATATAATGCAGCTCATAGGCATTCAATTTTCAAGACTTGAACATAATAGGATATAACTTTCTATCTTCATCAGCTTGTTCCAATACACACCCAATGACACATCACATGTATCAACGTATATTTGATATGTCTTAACACTATCCTTTGCATTCTGCTAATTCAGGATCTTTAATATAATGTCCTTTACAAAGCCTTTAATGATTAAAATGACTCTTTTTGTTCATAAAACCAGCAGAAACCTATGTCTTTCTTTATTAATTTAATAAGAGGTTTTGCTATCTTACTGAAGTCTTTCACAAAATATCAGTAATAATTTATAATTCCTAAAAACGATCTGATATCTTTAACACATCTAGGTCTTTCCTATTGTTCGATTAGCCTTTTTTGTTTGAGATCTAACCTAATTCCGCTTTTCTTTACTATATACCTGTACATACACAATTTCTTATATGCCAGGTAGCACTTTTTAGCTACAAAGATAAGTTCTGCTTGTTTAAATCACTATGCAAGTTCTACAAACTTGTCTATGTGATCTTTTAGCCATCTATTGGTCCAGAGACCTACATCATTCTGGTATGCAGTGGCAATATTCTTCTATTTGTTACCATTCAAGATCATATCCATCAAATATTGAAATGTTTCACTTATATTTTTTAGCTCTATACACATAACCATATAGTGCAAAACACCCAAAAGAGTTGAGACTACTACCTTTTCTCTATCCTTTTCTCTAATCTGGATTTGCAATATCCCTTATATGCATTAATACAAGAGTACCAGTCATAACCTGTGGTTTTTTCTAATATATTCTGAATCAAGAGCAAAGAGTATCCATCCTTCACTATATACTTATTGAGAAACACATATCACTAATTACATGTAATTGATTAGTGCTACCCTCCTTCTTATTTATAAGAAAATAGTAATAAGCATATTGCCCTATTTTCTTTTCAAGCAATCCATTTTTTAGCATCTCACATAATTGCTCTTCGAACAGTTAGGCTCTGGCTGGGTTGTTAATCCTAATTGGACGGACTCTGGTTACTGGGATCTCTTTTCCTCCTGCTCTGATTTTATATTTAATTAATTTTGTTTTTTCTATTTCAGCCAAGTCGAAAGCGAAGATTTCAGAAACCTTTTCTAACAAACATTTTTTAAAGTATTCACAATCTTGAAGTAGAATTTCCTTATTTATATCAAGAACACTTATTCTGTCTTTCAACAATTGCATGACTACCTTAAGTTTGTTCATATCTACAAAGCTAGTTTCAGACTCATTCACAATATTTTAGTATACTACTTGTCTATAATGAGATTCTGATAATCGTTTATTACTAACTGACTTAACTTCATGAACTTTCACTTTGCTTGTATTTTTAGTACTATTTAATACTTTGATATATGAATTGTATTAGTTATAACAACTCTCTAGTTGAACCTGTCTTATCATCATAAAGTTTTGATCATTCTCATTGTCGAATTTTTCATTTTTTTCATTGTTCTCTTTATTATTCTACTTTTTCGAAACAATCGAGGTAACAAAAGATATCTTTTTCAATTTGGAAGTGATTGAGCACCAGAACTGGTTATTCTTTCACTTCAAGTTGCATTTAGCGGTGGCTATCTAGGGCATTTCTAGTAGTATATTAAAACTGGATGTTTGCATTACATAAAAATTTTGTACCACTATTACTCTATCAATATCTATCTTGATATTAAATATGTAACCAACAAAGTTACTAACTCTATTGTCAGCCATCCTGCTTCTTCCTTTAGCCGATTTCTACACAAGACCCCTTCTGTTAGCATAATCAATATGTATAAAGTTTAAACGAGACCCCAGGTCAATTGGCATATCGATCAGCTCATCATTTATTCTAATAGTCCCTATTAGAATATCGCCTACTTGTTTATTAGTATTTATTTGAATAGCCCTTACAATACTAATATTAGTATCTAATAATGCAACATCAACTTCCTTTTTCTTTCTTGTTAGAGCTCTTAATATTTCTACACAAGCCTTTAGTGACTATTTGAAAAGCTGGCCTAAAGTTACCATTATCTCAAGTTCAGCGACCTTTTTCAAGATGTTGAGTTTCTGAGTCAATTTAGACAAAGGTGTGTATATTGTTAATTCTCTTATTTGTAGTTCTTGGCTAGCCGAATTCTCCTCAACTTTATTTCTCTTATCTGGCAACTGATATATAGGCTCCACCTCAGAGAACTTATGTTTCCTCAAGTTATAATTTCTTATA